GAATAGCTCTAATACCAATTTGTTGGTGAAAATAAGAGATAAGCTGTTGTATGAAGTAATTGATCATAAGAACAAAAAAATAAAATTTGTAGAGAATAGAGATTTTATTATAATATAGAGAAAGAATACAAAGATTTCGTGTTTATGATTTGTCTAACTTATAAAAGGTTAAATAACCTAAATAAATTGTAGAGAATGGCCAAATACATATAGGGAACAATTCAAGTCCTAGAAGAGAGTTGTAAATAAAATAAAATACTCGAAAGTTTTCTTATCTTGATTTCTTTAAATTCAACACAAATTCCAACTCTCAATAGGCTTCCAAATAGAATTTCAACTAGAATTTGTCCAATGGACTTCAAATAGGTTTCAGAAGTATTCCAATTAGAATTCATTTTAATGTGCACTTTAATTAGTATTCTCAATTGTCTTCAACAGAGAATTCGGATCATACCCAAATTCTTACACTTCTTATGCACGACTACCAAGGAAATTAAGCACCATATGAAGATCATATTTAGGTCTAGAAAATGGGAATGCATGATAAAGATTAATTAAGATAAAAGCGAGTCTTTCATCTTTCTAGTTGGATTTTGACAAAGACGACAAGGACTCTTTCTAGTTAGTTTTTTTACTGCAGAAATGGTTCAATTACAAGACCTTGAAGAAATTCAACATTGAGGTTTGAAACCATATTTTCTCCTAGAATATTTGGATTATGAATTCATTCAACTTTTTTCTTTGTTTACTTCAATCAGGCTTGGCTAAACCTTTTGTAGCCAGAATTAACGACGAAACTTTGTGTTTTGAATTAATTTGAAGTTGGATATTTTTATTTAATTCTTGTCTCCTGGTTTGATTATTTATTATTCGCTTTGTCAGTTTTGATGCTTGATCAACATTAGAATATGTTTGTCATTTATATTTATTTCTAGATATTTGATAAAAATTAACACATTGTAATAATCTTTGAGCTAGGGTCGGATTACGGCTCCCCTACACTTTTGGGGGCTGCAGGAAAGGAAAGAGCTGCCGTTGAAAGGACATATCTAGCCAAAGCAAATAGAGAATAGGAGCAGGGCTATGATATGTAGAGATTTCATTATGCTCTATAAAATTATTTTGTAATCTGGATTAATACATATGCTCACAATTTGATTACATATAATTAAATTTATATATGAATATTCGATTGACATTGAGAGTGGCTGTTGATTAATATCATAATGGTGGATTTATAATCCTAATGCTTTAAGTAAATTTTACACTACAATTCTTCATGTGTACTCAACTTAGTTAAGTTGGTTAATTAGTTATAAAATTGATCTTCAAAATCATAAATTAATTTAGCCTGAAATTGTTAGATTTAATCATGAATTTTACACTACGATTATTCGATTTTTTGTGGGACAATACTCGCCCATGTATTACTTGTTAACATCGTGTTCTTTTTGCAGGATAAAATCAAAAATAAGTATTTACTGTCATATCTAAAATAAAAATTAGTTACTAGCTAGACATAACACAATAGATTTTCGATATAATTTTTAATTGATATGCCAATTACCACCATGCAACATTATAAAAGTGTAAATAAAAATGAAATCTATTTTCACTTTTTAATGTAGAAGAACATTGCGATAAAGTTCTTTATATCATTTTTTTTTTATATTGTGCATGTTGTTTCTAGAGTATTGGTTTCTCTTTAAAACAATCTAAAGAGACTCACTCTCTCAAATATTTGGAATGGGATTGGATGAAAATAAAATCGGAATAATATGATCAATAAGATCAACAAGATAAAAGTAGGAACTAATCACGAACAAGATTTAATTAACCAAGCCCACCGACTTCACGGTATGTTCCTAAGACAAATTTGATATCGTCAATGGTGTTTGAAGGCAATCGAAAATCGTCTCTTTGGATTTTTTTGATACACGTAGGACATGGATTCTATATGGTTCTATATGAACCAATGGATCGTGACAAGTATGATGGGCAACTCTCTCCTGCGGTTCGGAGAGGACTTAGCTATTAGTTGGAATCCCTTTGCTTTTTGGGCAGACCCTTTCATTCAAGCAAAACGACAATTGGTAAGAGTTCCAACGATATGACTACAATGTTTTGTGCTCGAAGAAACATAAGAAAAAATTAGAAATGGAATTGAGATTCAAAGAAGGAATAATTACATTTGAAAATTATGTAATTTTTTTGTATGAAATGCATGCTATTTATAGATTATTGTAATATCTTAAATTAATGGAAAGAAAATCCAAACTTAAAAAAAATGAAAAAAGACAAAAAATAAAAATAAAAATGGCAGGCGGTGGAAACTCAAACTAATCCATTATAAATCTATCCAAATCCATTAATTGATAACATACAATACATACTACACACACAAGAAAATGATTTAGAGAAGAAGAAGAAAGAAAAGAGAAAGGAAAAAGCAGATAAAAAAGAAGAAGAAAAGAGGAAGAAAAGAAAGAAAAAAATAGAAAAAAATTCGTCAACATATTAGGAATTAAGTGCTCTATACTATTAGGCTTGAATTCCTCAATTTTGAAAGGTAAGTAAAAATTTACTTATTGAAAGGTTATGTTTAATTTTGTAGTTGTTAGATTGTTAGATTAAATTCAATTTTATTGAAGGGGTTAGATATAATAAACTATGAAATTGAGTAAAATGAAAGAAAAATTAGTTTTAGTAATTAAAGAGACTTTAAAAATTGCCTAAACATGAAATAATTAACTTTTGGTATCACATATTTAATTTTTTAAATTACTTAAAATAGTTAATTGTTCATTTAAAAATTATATTATATCTCATGCGGCGATATGGATATCGGGACAATTTACCAATCGAATTGATTTTGGCGTATATAGTTCTATGAGTGAAAAAAATATTAATATTTATAAAGTAATTATAAGTTAAGTATATTATCAAAGTACGTGAAATTATGTGTTTGTTTATATGATTATTATGGAAATCTCTTTTATTATGATATATGTGGAATCTCTAAGATTATTTATGACACATTTGTGACTTGGTATGTAAGACATATGATATTGAGATTTGTTTGGTATGTGAAACATGTAATATTAAGATCGACCAGAAAAATACCCATAATTATATACTTCTTCTAGTTCACAGAGGGGCCTTGACCATGTTCTATCCTACGCGGAGGGGTCTTGACCTGACATTGGTCTTGATTGTGTACATATAGTTCACAAAGGGGCCTTGACCGTGTTCTAGAATTGATTACCAGAAGTCATTGAGACAGGCTTTCGTTCACGGAGGGGGCCAAAAGCCTGTGGCAAAAGTTCTTAGCACGAGAGACGGATTACATATTTTAGTTAGAGGGTACATTTTTTATGGATTTTTCAACACGTTTGATGTGATGAGATTATAACATGGTCATTAGCTGATGTTCATAACATGATTTTAAGATGATATTTTATGACCCTGTGTGAATATTTTACTTTTTGGCTATAATTATATGATGGTAGTTTGTGAATTATCAAATGATATGAATTTGATTTTCAATAAAAATGTATAAATAAAAAAGTATATTCATTTTGAACTTCTTCATTCACTGATCTATTAACTTATATATTTTTCCACGTTTTTCTTTATCAGACAACAGTTGAGTATCTGGACATCTTTTGGAGTTGAGCCTTGATTTTGGAGTCAAAGCCACACAACAGAATTTGTTAGTATGACTTACTTCATAGAACATGTAGTCAGTATTTTGGGATGTATGTTCATGTCTAGATATGATTTTGCATCACTTGTAGATAGTTATGAGACTCACTATGTATTTTGTATGCCTATGTACATTTCATTTTATTTCTTGGTAAAAGTTGAGGTTTCGGTTTATCTTTATTGTGTTGTGTTATAGTTTGGGATTTGTGTAAAATTGATCACGGGTTGGTCAGTCCTGTTTACAGGGAAGATAATGCCGAAATTCTATCAAAAAATGATGTATAAGAAGTGATATATTGTACTTGTAGCAGCCTTGATGGTAGGTCCGACTTTTAGTTGGTATCTATCACCGATGCATGCCACGTCCGGATTCAGTAATGTTATAACTGTAGGTGAGTCATGCCTCTTGGTGACAAAACTTGAAGGCTCCAAGATATGTTGTCCCAGTCTCACATTGCTCCTAATAGAGATAAACTGAGAGAGCCCAATAGAGTAGATAAATCAGTTCACCAGCCTCCTAAACAATGGGGACAGGAAATGTGATTGGAACTAATCATATTGCTGTTGAAAGAATTGTTATTACTGTTGCATCTGCTATGCGTAATACTGACAGAGATTCCAGTATTGAGAGGAAATGATGTATAAGAAGTGATATATTGTACTTGTAGTAGCCTTGATGGTGGGTTCGACTTTTAGTTGGTATCTATCATCGATGCATGCCACGTCCGGATTTAGTAATGTTATAACTGTAGGTGAGTCATGCCTCTTGGTGACAAAACTCGAAGGCTCTAAGATATGTTGTCCCAGTCTCACATTGCTCCTAATAGAGATAAACTGAGAGAGCCTAATAGAGTAGATAAATAAGTTCACCAGCCTCCTGAACAACGGGGATCGGGAAATGTGATTGGAACTAATCATATTGCTGTTGAAAGAATTGTTATTGCTGTTGCATCTACTATGCATAATACTGACAGAGATTTCAGTATTGAGAGGGCTACAAAATTATGGGCTAAAGTTTTCACTGGCACAACCGATCCTGTAGTTGCGCAGGCATGGATGACCAAGATAGAGAGGGTATTTGATGTTATGGGTTACTCAGACGATTAAAAGTTGTGTCTTGCCACTTTCTTATTAGATGAGGGTGCATATGATTGGTGGCAGTCGGTAGGGGCACATATCTAGACCCTTTCATCATCACTTGGATAGATTTTCATCATATCTTTTATGATGTCTATTACCCTCAATCCTATAAAGATGCAAGGTAGGAAGAATTTTTGAAGTTAGTACAAGGACAGATGACAGTTGAATATCAAGTGAAATTTATTGAACTTTCAAAGTATGTCCAAGTTCGGGTAAGCAACGAAATTGATAATGCAGACAATTTGAAAATGGGTTAAGGGAAGAAATCCGATCAATAGTAACAGCTGCAGGCTGGAATGTATTTGGCAAATTGGTGGAATCAGCTTTAAGAGTAGAAAAGAGTATTTCTGATAGGTCAAGTGGTAGAGAACAAACAATATTCAGAGTAAGTAGTAGTCAGACAATGGCAAGTGCTTCTAGCTATAGATCACCACGGAGGGACAACAGAGGATTTCAACCTGGTATATCCAGTTCAGGTCAATTCAAATATCGATTCCAAGGAAGTTAGGGTCCTAGATTCAATCCCAGTACTGTACAACAGCCATTGGCCGATCGTAATTATACTCAGGGTTCTTCCTAGCGATCATTTACTTTGACACAGGGAGAGAGTTCTACTAGTGTCAGATTTCATTCTTGCCAGTTATGTGGAAGATCTCATCCTAGAGAGTGCTTAAAGTTCAAACGAGTTAGTGTTTGCTATCACTGTGGTCAAGAAGGACACTTGAAAAAGAACTACCCGGTTATATTCCAAGAGGGTAGCATGGCACAGATGATGTTTCCTGAGCAGAGTACTGGTAGTACAAGATAGAATCAGACTCAGAAAGATGATTCAGCTAACAGAGTAGATTGTAGCCCAGTCTAATATTGCAAGCGATAGTGGCACAAAATCAAAAGGGCAGGTAGGACGATCGAAGACCTAGGGAAAGATTTTTGCTATGACTTAGCAGGCGACAGAGGAGTCACCAGATGTTATCATGGGTATGTTGTCTATTTTTGATAGAAATGCTTGTATTTTGATTGATCTTGGAACAACACACTCTTTTATGTCATTTGCATTTGCTTTATATGAGAATCAAAAGCCAGAACTTTTAGGCAATTGTTTAATAGTGAATACACATGTAGGATAATCACTATTAGCAAATAATATATATCGAGATTGTAGGATTAAGGTAAATGAGAATGAGTTGAAGGCAAATTTAATACCTTTTGACATACATGGTTTTGATGTTATCTTAGGTATGGACTTTCTAGTAGCAAATCGAGCTTCAGTTGATTGCTTTTAAAAGGAGGTTGTGTTTAGACAACCAGGACAGCCTGAAATTATATTCAATGGACAGAGCAAAATTTTACCGTCTTGTGTGATATCTGTATTGATGCTAGAAGATTACTCAACAAAGGCTACCATGCATATTTGGCTCATGTGATTGATACGAGTGCTAGCAAATTAAAACTTAAAGACATCTCATTGGTCAAGGACTTTTCTATGTATTTCCAGAAGAATTACCAGGCTTACCATCAGACAGAGATATGGAGTTCACTAGAGATTTGATTCTAGGAACTGCACATATTTTACGGGCACCATATAGAATGGCACAGCAGAATTGAAAGAGCTAGAGGTTCAGTTACAAGAGTTGGTAGACAAGGGTTTTATCAGACCTAGTGTATTTCCGTGGGGAGCACCAATTTTGTTTGTGAAGAATGATGACACCATGCGACTGTACTTAGATTACAGACAATTGAACAAAGTGACAATTCACAATAAATATCATTTGCCACATATTGATGATCTTTTTGATCAGCTTCGGGGTGCTATAGTATTTTCAAAGATTGATTTGCGTTCTGGATATCATCAACATAAAATCAGGGATAGTGATGTGCTAAAAACTGCTTTCAAGACATGATATGGTCATTTTGAATTTCTTGTGATGCCATTTGGGTTGACCAACGCACCAGCGACATTTATGGATATGATGGATAGATTGTTTCACCGGTATTTAGATAGATTTGTGATTGTATTCATTGATGATATTTTAGTATAATCTCGAGATCATGATGAGCACACAGAGTATCTCAAAATCATCTTACAGACTCTACATGATAAATAGTTTTATGCTAAATTCAGTCAATGTGAATTCTGGCTTAATAGAGTTGTATTTTTGGGACATGTCATATCAGTAGAGGAAATTTATGTTGACCCATAGAAAATTGAGGCAGTGATAAAATGGGAAAGGCCTACTAATGTGACAGAAATACGAAGTTTTCTTGGCTTAGCAGGTTATTATCGTCGTTTTGTAGAGGGATTTTCTAAAATTGCTCTGTCTTTGACCAGTTTGACTAGACAGAATACTAAATTTGTTTGGAATGAAAATTGCGAAAGAAGTTTCCTTGAATTGAAGAATAGATTAGTGTCAGCTCCAGTTCTTACCCTTCCATCTCCCTTGAAGAGTTTGTGATATATAGTGATGCTTCACGTCAGGGTCTTGGTTGTGTTTTGATGGAAAATGGTAAAGTTATAGCGTATGCTTTCAGGCAGTTGAAGAAACATAAACTGAGATATCCTACATATAACTTAGAGCTAGCTACAGTTGTCCTAGCCTTGAAAATTTGGAGACATTACTTGTATGGCAAGAGATGTAAGATATATACAGATCATAAATGCTTAAAGTATATTTTCGATCAGAAAGAGTTAAACTTGAGGCAAAGAAGATGGAGCTGATAAAAATTACGACTACAAGATTGATTATCATCCAGGGAAGGCTAATATAGTTGCTGATGCTCTCAATCGGAAAATATCGAGTCATATGACTCAGACTAATACAGTATGTTCATTTTTGTTTCATGAGTTTAGAGCTTCTCATGCCCAATTATCAATTACCAGTGTAGGAGCATTGTTTGCCAACTTTTAAATGAGGCCTACTTTGATTGACACAGTTTGAGAAACTTAAACTCAAGATCCAGTGTTGAGCGAATTGAAAGAAGAAGTTAGTAAATGTAAGCATACAGATTATACCATTCGAGATGACGGAGCTTTAGTTATGGGAAACAGATTATGTGTTCCAAATGATTCGAAATTAAAAGGAGAAATTCTAGAAGAGAAATAGAGTCCAGCTTACGCGATGCATCCAGGTAGTATAAGAAATGTATCGTGTACTCAAAGAACACTATTGGTGGCACGGAATGAAGAGAAAATGGCTGAGTTTGTATCCAGGTATCTCAATTGCCAGCAAGTGAAACCAGATCGTTAGAAAATGGTAGGATTGTTACAAATGTTGCCTATTCCTGGGTGGAAATAAGAACACGTTACTATGGATTTTCTGTTTGGACTTCCACGGACTCAGAGCGGACATGATAGCATATGGATCATGGTAGACAGGTTAACAAAAACTGCTAGATTTTTGCCTATTAAAACCACTTACTCATTAGATAAATTGGTAAAATATATGTTGATGAGATAATCAGTTTGTATGGGACACCAGTATCTATTGTTTCAGATAGAGATTCTTGTTTCACTTTTAAATTTTGGCCCAGTTTGCAGAAAGTTATGGGTACTAAACTTCATTTTAGTACAGTTTTTCATCCAAAAATAGATGGTCAGTCAGAAAGAACTATTCATACTTTGGAAGACATGTTACGAGCTTGTGTACTACAGTTTAAAGGGAATTGGGATACTCGTCTTTCTTTGATGGAGTTTGCTTATAATAACAGTTATCATTTGAGTATAGAAATGGCTCCTTTTGAAGCACTGTATGGTAGTAAATGCAGAAATCCGGTATGTTGGGATGAAGTTGGCGAAAGAAAGTTATTGGGCCCTGAGTCTGTCCAGATTACTACTGAGAAAGTAAAGATGATTAAAGAAAAGTTAAAGACAACTCAAGATAGACAGAAGAATTATGCAGATAAACGCATAAGAAACCTTGAATTTGATGTTGGGGAAAAAGTTTTTCTGTGATCATCGCCATAGAAAGGTGTTATTAAATTTGGTACATGAGGTAAATTGAGTCCAAGGTATATTGGTCCATAAGAGGTTGTTAAACGCATTGGCCCAGTTGCTTATCGATTGGTTTTGCCAATGAAATTGTCCAGAATTCATGATGTATTCCATATTTCCATGCTTTGTAAGTATATTCCATATTCATCTCATGTATTGGAATCACAACCAGTAGAGCTAAAAGAAAATCTTACCTATGAAGAGAAACCAGCTTAGATATTGGACAGAAAGAAACATATCTTGCGTAATAAGACTATTCCCTTGATTAAAGTCTTATGGAGGAATCATACTATAAAAGAAGCGACATGAAAAAGTGAAGAACATATGCATTCTCAGTATCCCTAGATTTTTCACACTTAGTTAATTGAATTTCGAGGACGAAATTCTTTTAAGGCGGTGAGTTTTGTAATATCTTAAATTAATGGAAAGAAAAGTCAAACTAAAAAAAATGACAAAAGACCAAAAAAAAAAAGGGGTGGAACCCCAAACCAATCCATTATAAATCTATCCAAATCCATTAATTAACAGCACACTACACACACAAGAAAACGATTCAGAGAAGAAGAAGAAAGAAAAGAGAAAGGAAAAAGGAGGAAAAAAAAAAGAAGAAAAGAGGAAGAGAAGAAAGAAGAAAATAGAAAAAATTCGCCAACATGTTAGGAATTAAGTGCTCTATACTATTATTAGGCTTCAATTCCTCAATTTTGAAAGGTAAGTGAAAAGTTACTTATTTAAAGGTTATGTTTAATTTTATAGTTGTTAGATTAAATTCAATTTTATTGAAGGGGTTAAGTATAATAAACTATGAAATTCAGTAAAATGAAAGAAAAATTAGTTTTAATAATTAAAGAGGCTTTAGAAATCACCTAAATGTGAAATAATTAAGTTTGGGTATCGCATATTTAATTATTGAAATTACTTAAAATAGTTAATTGTTGATTTAAAAATTATATTATATTTCAGACGGTGATACAGATATGGGGACAGTTTACCAACCGAATTGATTTTGGCGTATATAAGAGTGGAAAAATATTAATATTTTTAAAGTAGTTATAAATTAAGTACATTATCAAAGTACGTGAAATTATGTGTTCGATTATATGATTATTATGGAAATCTCTTTTATTATGATACATGTGGAATCTCTAAAATTATTTATGGCACATTTGTGACTTGGTATGTAAGACATGTGATATTGAGATTTGTTTGATATGTAAGATATGTAATATTGAGATCAGCTAGAAAAGTACCCATAATTATATACTTCTTCTAATTCACAGAGGGGCCTTGGTCGTGTTCTATCCTACACGGAGGGGTCCTGACCTGATATTGGTCTTGATCATGTACATATTGTTCATAGAGGGGCCTTGTCCGTATTCTAGAATTGATTACCAGAGGTCTTTGAAACCGACTTTCATTCACGGAGGGGGCCAAAGGCCCGTGGCGAAAGTTCTTAGCCCAATGGACGGATTACATATTTCAATCAGAGGGTACATTTTTGGTGGATTTTTCAGCACGTTTAATGTGATGAGATTATAGCATGGTTATCAACTGATGTTCATATCGTGATTTTAAGATGATATTTTATGACCCTATGTGAATATTTCACTTTTTAGCTATAATTATATGATGGTAGCTTGTGAATTATCAAATGATATGAGTTTGATTTTCAATAAAAATGTATAAATGAAAAAATATATTTATTTTGAACATCTCCACTCACTGAGCTATCATCTCATATATTTTTCCACATTTTTATCTTTTCAGACAGTAGTTGAGTATCTGGGTATCTTTTGGAGTTGAGCCTTATTTTGGAGTCAGAGCCACATGATAGAGTTTGTTAGTATGATTCACTTCATAGACATGTAGTCAGTGTTTTGGATGCATGTTCATGTCTAGATATGATTTTACATCAGTTGTAGATAGTTATGAGACTCACTATGTATTTTGTATCCCTATGTACATTTCATTTTATTTCTTAGTAAAAGTTGTGGTTTCGGCTTATCTTTATTATGTTGTGTTATAGTTTGAGATTTGTGTAAAATTGATCACAAGTTGGTTAGTCATGTTTACAGGGAGATAATGCCGAAATTTTGTTAGAAAAATGATGTAGAAAAAGTGATAAATTATATTTGTAGTAGCCTTGATGGTGGGTCCGACTTTCAGTTGGTATCTATCATTGGTGCATGCCACGTCCGAATCCAGTAGTGTTACACGAGGCAGGGTGTGTCAATTGTTGTCAGTCATTCGAATAGCGTACAAGCTTCTTGAAAATAGTGGTGGTTAGACAACATTGCAAAGAATAGAGGAGTCTGTCCACACCAAAAATAAGTTGGTTACAGATGTAAGTTAAAGTTGATTACAGACTAGGTTTATCAAAAACAGTCTATTACAAAACATATGTTGGTTAATCCAGAAAAATTCCAAGAAAATAGCCAGCACTTGGAATTTAAAGGACCATCAGAAATAATTTTATTCAGTAGCCAAGAATTTGATTAATTACAAATTGAATAAGAATATTTAATTAAATTTTCTTCAAAAGATATAAATGTAAAACGAGGATCTACACCAAGATTCAAACCTGACCAGGACTAGGACCCGTGTATGTATTGTGCCGAACTGGAAGAATGGAAAGATCAACGACGAAACGTGCACATTCATGTGGAATTTGGATTGAACAATTAAGATATAGATCTCTTCTCTTCTAAGACTAGTATTACCACTTGGGTCCCAAATCTAAAAGTGAAACTACTATATTAAAAATCAAATATTTTTTCTCAAGGTTTCCTATGTGAGACAAATGTTAAAAATCCTATGAATTTCTTTAGCATTCAAGTTTCAAGTGAATGACTCTGAAATCAATCATGTTATTCAATATTAAATGATTTTTGACAAATAAATATATCATGTTAATTATCTCATGTAGTAGAGAACATGAATATGCATGGTTGCATTAATTTTGAAATTCGAGTCCCACTTAATTTTGAGCTCACATTTGCCTAAACTCACTAATTTGTAAACCATCTATAACTATCCCCTACATGAATGAAATACATCAACTTTTCCAAAAACACACAATAGCAGATACAAAAATTGAGTACAAAATTAAGAGAAGTTGCATCATAATAAATAGCCAAAGAATTCGAACCTTCCTTAGTCAAACATATTATTAAATGTAACTGGTCAATCAGTAGTAAAATAGTTTGAATAGTCATTCGTTCGTGTTAACATAGACAATAGAAGTTCATAGTTATCTTCGAACATAATTGGTTCTTCTGTTTGTCCCATTTTGACCCTGGAAACTACTTAGTTCATGAGTGTTCTTAGACAGTTCAACGTAACACATTTCTCTTATAACCAACACCTTTTTCACCTATATAGATGTCTCCATAAATAGTATTCTATTTATACTTCACGTGAATGAATTAAGAAATAAAGGTCATTAAAAGCACTGAAAGTCCAAGAATGACTAACCAAGAGGGTGGTGAATTAGTTTTGAAGTCTTTTTCAAAAATTAATTCTAGATATATGATAGCAAATATGTCAATTAAACAAATAAGCAAAAATAAGAAACCAACTAAAGACTAAATTGATAAATTAAAAATAAGTCCAAGTATAAAAGCGATAAGTAAAAGGGAGAGAGAATGCAAACAATATAATTGTGGATGTTCGATCCAATACAATGATCTACGTTCTCCGTTACCAAGCTCTCCGACACAAGTAAGGCCTTTTCACTATGTTGATTAACTTATAGCACAATTCAACCCTTTACAACGTTTTCGATGAGTTACAAACAAGGAGCACTGATTCTTTACAAAGTTGAGTTTTACGGGACCTCAACACGGCCCACACTATTAAGCTTTATGGGATCTCAATATAATCTACATGGTGACTTACAACAAGGAGCACCTATCCTTA